GTCGTGCAGGCGGAGTGTGTGAGTCAGGCTCAGACTCTGGCAGCTCGTCAGGCAGTGTGAGGGCCAGCAGAGGGAGCTGGGGCAGCTGGAGCAGCGCCAGCAGCATGGAGGGAGACAAGGACGCCAGTGCCCGAACACACGCCTGCACTACCTCATCTAGAAAAAGTATGGAGCGTTTATGTACTACCTTATCTAGAAATACCCTCACCAGTCACTTTATTAGGTACAATTGTATGCACTTCAGTGTAACACCCCCACCTTAACATCTGTGTTTATGAAACTCAGAATGTATAAATTCAATTATATTTTTTATTTTTGAAGTCATAGTTATTGGTGGTGTTGTACTGGACTACATCATATTCAGAGGTGTCTCTATATTTCTGTCCTCCCCAGCTACACACACGAGAGGGTCCGAATATTAGGAACACCTCTAAATATAATGACAATTTCATCAAAAACTGAAACATTTTGAGCTTCATAAACAGATGTTAAGGCAGAATCGCATACAATTGTACAGGTGTACCCAAAAAAGCTGGACAGTCAGTGTATAAGAACTGGAGATCAGGTTTTAAAGCAACAGTACTTGTCTACTGTTCTATGCAACACGTTCTGTAATTTTCCCAGAATCCAATGCATAACCATTATGTTGAAAAATTGACTAACGTTGTCTATCGCATACCAGAATGATGAGTTGCACTATTTTGTGTTTGCTCTTGCTGCTTTTTCCAGGGGACTCCATGCAGGGTGCTGTCTACCCAGTAGAAAGGGACTGCTGCCAGACCATGAATACAAACTACAAAGCTCTAAGGTACTTTGACAAACACACACTCAGCTCACAAAGTGGCTCTAATGTGTGGTTGGACCTCCACAGCTTAAATGATCTCATCTGTAGTTTTTATCCATACTCAGAAAACCATGAAGATTATTTATCAGTCTGTTAGTGACAGAAGAAGAAAAGCCAGCTCAGAAAAGTTCAGTATGAAACTCCAGAGTCTTGTGTATTGATCTGTGGATCACTTTTGTAATAAAAATAAATGTAGCTGATGAGCTTCACACTTTTAAAAGGTTATCATACAGATTATGAACTTATGTTTCACTGGAAATTATGACATTTCTTCTAAAATCAGTTCCTTTTGACACCAAATACCAGTCAGTGGCTGATGTTTCTGTTTATCCAGTTTGCACCAAGGCCACTGGTGAAAATGTCGCAACTGTAAAGAGTTTTCTCTGGCAGAACCGATGGAAAATGTGATTTTATTTATTTATTTTTTTATATGGATTCTGTTTCAACTGCAACATTTGTCTTTTCTCCTTTTAGCATGAACAGCTTGTACCATAAAGATCTGTGCCAAAGCCCAGATCCCACAGCGTCCAGCTTTGCCCCAAGTTTTGCTGCTGTTGCTGCAGGAGTGGAGCGGAACATGGGTAAAGACGCATTTATACTAAATACATGACATGTTGTTAAGGGAAGAACAGAGTTTAAAATAAACAATTGTCTAGATTGTGAGCAAAAGAAAGTGTTGTGCATTCAGTCTAATGTCTGAAGGAAAGTTATTATGTGTCTCTCAGACCTCGCAGGTCAGTATTTGCCTGAAGAGACGTGGTCGGCTCCATCTATCCCCCTCACCAATGAGTTCAGATACAACACCACCGAAGCACTGCCGTACTTACCTCAGCCAGCAACCACGGCGTCGTACAACGGGTATGTGTTTGAATACACAATAGTTAGACTAATTACACGCCTTTCTGTACTGGAACTGTACTGTGTCTTGTACATAATGACAGTCCAGCATCACACAGCAGAGAAAAATAAACCTAACAAATTTATTTTAAAAACACCAAGCAGTCAGAGATATGTTTTTCAGGAGTTAGTGGAGACACAGCGGACCTAATTAGAGTATGAACACTGCACTCTGTCAGACAGAAACAGAACTCCAGATGAGTGCTGCTGTTGCTACCTGTACTAGGCATGAACGCAGGACATTGTTTGCTTGTCACATTGTCAGCTTTTTCTGGGCTTGTTGAGATTAAAAGAGGTGTACATTCAGCTTTTCTGTATTTTGCATACAATGGGAGCAGAATGAGCCTGCGTCCAAGAACTGGAGGGAAAATCTTTGGTTCTTTTGTGACAAAATTAATACATGTAATTTTCTGACCTTAATTTCGAAATCAAAATGACATTATAACTCTGGTTGATATCAAATCTTTATTGCTCTTTTGTGGTTTTATAGCAATAAGCCAGGAGTGGTACTGGTTGAATAATCACCCCCCCAGTGCTGCAGCAGCGTGTCTTTGTGTTTCAGTAGCTCTGTGATAACAGTTTCATGTGTCCCTGTTGAAACTGTTGGATCAAATGTTTCCTGCAGGTTTACTTGGAGTAATGCAAACAGCCACTGCAACAGTCCGTACACCTACTGTGAGAGAGGAGTCTACATAGGTATGTGAATGTTTAAACGTTGTGCTACGTCTAAATTTGATCATTTCAACTTAAAGGAAATATTAAATTACTAGAAACTTGAATTGTACCAAGTAGTGAGACTGCATCCTTTAGATGTGTCTGGCTCAACATTTTTTGTTGCAACATTTTGCAGGTAACGGAACATTTCCAAGTGGTTTTTCTGGGCAGGAGGTCCAGAGTGCACACAGCACCCAGACCAGCTGGAGAGAGGAACAGCCTCAGGAGTCACCTTCAACCTGGGACACAGCAGCCTGTGTAGGCAGCAAGGTGACAACTCACAACACTAGACTCAGATGGTTTAATCGAGACCAAGTGAAGTGAAGTCTTGGTCAACAGTCCAAAACTTGACACTATTCGTGTTTTTCTATCATGTATGACACAGTGAAGCTTCATACAGTATGTTCACATTTGAGAGGTATTTTTGCTTAAAAATGGCTGAAGTCATCATTCGAGTGTCAAAACAGGGGCAGATTAATTTTCTGTTGTCAGCTAACCAGGTCATTGTTGCAGCTTTGCTGCTTTTTGGTCCAGGTAAAATGTGTTTTCCTGATTTTGAATACTGCATGTTTATCTGTTAATATTTTTTTAAACTTTGTTTGCCCTGAGTAAAATAAACAACAGGGCCTTTACTAGCTAGACCATCATCCATGTTTTTCTCAGAAATCATTCCTCGTACAATAATGTCACATAATCATAAGGTTTAGAGTCAAAAACAGTCATATTTATTTAGACTCAAATGAATAAATAAACCACAAAAGGTTAACCACAGGAGAAGTTAACTTGTCCAAGCAGCAGAACTAAAATACAGATGTAGATGATGTGGTTTAAGTTGTGTGGTTTGAGTACTTCCAGGTTTCTTTTTACACATTTTCTTACACAGCTCATTGTACTGTGTTGCTACATTGCGAAAGTTTCAGAAAAGAAACTTTGTGAAGTTGCGCTCACACCTCACATGTGCGTTGGTAACACAAGTTGGGCCAATGAGAGTGTAGGGCCAATTAATACCCTGCTGCCTCACCTGTGTCAAGAGAAACTGCCAAATACTTGCTGCAAGTTAGTGTGAGACTGTAGACTTGCAGATGTCATTTTGAACAGCAGCACACAGACCTGAGACATCAGCCACAGTGTCGTCGGCTCCCCCACCACCACCACCACCAAGTGTCTTTCCTGTTCTGACTCATGTAGCGAAGCTATTAGCTCTTCTACTGAGCTGAAATGAGGAACTAGGCTGTTCTTAAACATGCTCTTAAGTCTTACTGAAAGTGGGGTTTTACAAGCTGCTTCTTCATTTGCTGCTTCTCCTTTTTGCACCGTGATCTTGCCCAGTGTTGTGTGCGTTTCTTGTCGTTTTATTTCATGTTACTCGTGAACCATTATTACCAGCCAGTGTCGCAGTGGTTTGTCAGCTGATATGCAAATAAACGGCAGTAAATAATTTCTGTAAGCAACAAATGGACAGTACCTTTGATACTTTTTTGTTAACTGTTTTTTTTTTTTTGTATATATTTGTTGCAAGTGGTTTGCAAAGTTTACTGTATTTACTAGTTACTAGTCACTTTGATACCTTTAAGATATCACTTTTTGGGGGCTTAGGATAGGGAGAAACCTGCTGTCTTTACTGGAGCAAGAAGGGTATTTAATTTTATTTAAGAAGGAGAGATGAGATTTAAAAGCTAAAAAATGACAGCGCAGGCCATCACCGCAGGGAGCAGCCTGTCAGGTGTCCAGAGGTAGCAGAGCACAGTGACAGGTAAGGTTAGAAATGTCATGAACGTATAGAGCTGACAGCTTTGCTCAGTAGCTTCTGAGACCACAGACCAGCTACAGTAGCTCAGGAAAAGTGGCTCAAGAGTTCACGTTTTTCCTCTTCATCCTCCGCAGCCATACTTCTCGGGTACCCGCAGCCTCTCCCCCATGTCCAGCCTGTTTGGATCCATCTGGACGCCTCAGAGTGAGCCCTACCAGAGCCACTTCCAACCAGAGCGATCAGCCCCAATGTCCCCCGTGTCCCCCATCACCCCTCCTCATTCTCCCTTAAGCCGGGAACCAGAGGGGACCTGTAGACCGACCCAGTACTCCAGCTTCAACCCATTCGGCCCGCACATGAACCTGGACATATGGAACTCTTCTTCCAACCGCAGTTCCAACTCACAGCTCTCCAATGACTCCGGCTACTGTGGAGATGTTTAAAATAAAAAAATTGGTGGACCTTAAAAGTTATTGCAAACATATGGCATTGACACGTAAAAGAAAGGAAGTCAAATGAATGTTGTTTTATCATTATTGGGGAAAATGTGAATATTCCTTTTCTCTTATGTTCCCATTTTCAAATGTTAAACGTTGTGAAAGGTTCAGCATTTGTTGTATATTTTTCTAGATGTTTTGCAGCTTTGATCATAGAGAATAAAAAAGGTTTTCTACTTGAACAGCATATCGGTCCTTTTTTTTTTAATTGTGTCTGCATTTACCCACCTTCCACACTTTCTCTATCTTTGGAATCATTTATCACAGCACACACAGGCCTAAAAGATTCATGTGAACCTGGTAAGATCACCAAGTTGTTGTTTTCTGAGAGTGCTGGCAAACCAGGCCACTGGTAGCTTGTAGCACCCTCCTAATGCAACATGCACAGCACTGTGCAAAAGTATCATACAGTGTGCAGTAAACAGGAAAAAAATACCTACATCAGAATCAGAATCAGCTTTACTGGCCAGGTGTGTTGGACACACGAGGAATTTGACTCAGGTACATCGGCTCTCAATGTGCAAAACCGTAACCAGCATAAGGCTGTGTAATATAACAAAATAGCAGTATTAACATCAACAACCAGTGCAAACAATGCAGAAAAGGCAGTATAAACCGATAACAAATGTCTATTGTTTACTGTGACCAAACTTCTCAAGTACACCTTAGTTTTTTTTTTTTAGTACTTGGCAGGCTGGTCGTTCCAAGCATATTGGAGAACCTAACACCGTTCTTCTGCTTATGGCCACCTCAATATGTTCTGTCTTCATGTTGTGGGGTTCCTTGTTCTGATCTCTGAAGACAGACTAGCTGTTTCGGGGGGTTTCATGCAGCAGAATGAATTATCAGGCGCCTCCCTGATGGTACTGTGTGATAAGTAAGACTGTAAACATTTAAAGTGCCTAAAACTCTTGCCTAGTACTGTAAGTGTAATATATATATTGTATATGCACTAAAAGCTGGAATTTGATTTTATTTCATCCTAAAGGGAAAAAAACATGCCTGTTCAAATATCTACAATAAAAGAGCAAAACCAAAACAACAGACTCAAATGCAGTCTAACATGTAACATGATTGTGCAAAATCCCAAAGGTTCTACCAGTAAGCCGGTACAACTACTTCTGGCGTTCTGCTTGTGAATGTGGTAGAATAATTACCATGAGGAATGGGGAAATAAAATAATTACCATGAGGAATGGGGAAATAATTTGCTGGCTACAGAAACGTTGTGATTCAGTGATGCATCTTGCTCTCATTCTGTCACAGTTGTGAAGGAGGACAAGAGAAACCTTTACAAACCACAGTTAATGTATCTTTAACAACAGCGATTGATAGAAGACACCTTTCTGATTCATTTGGACATTTCACAGTTGTGTCTGAGCATGTAAAACTGCACTTATCAGTATTTTTAGCTTAATGCTTACACGCATATCTCAGGTCCTGTGGGACCGTACAGCATTACACCCTGTCTAATTCATTAATTTCATTCAATTAAGCACTCCTCTTTGTCACATGCCATTAACTAACAACAGCCCTGAATGTCACAGAGGACAAGATACTGTCCAATTTGTAGACTGACTGATGAGGGAGTCTCATATATTCTCCGTTCACCTCATCGGCCTCTACCCTGCATCTTTGTACACACGAGTAAACTTTTATGACCACGTTACCAACTTGGGAAGCCATGTGATGACACAAAGTTAAAAAAAAAAAAGTGTAGTGTTGGTAGTTTACTATTTTCTCTAACAGTTATGTAAAGGTAGAGTTATACAGGGAAGTGAATTAGTTGAACAGAGCTTAAATGTACACAGTTGGGACAAACATCTAACCCAACCTACACTACTATGCATCTCTTTGTTTTAAATCTATTTGTATAATGTATGTGTGTGAAAAAGAAAAAGCTTCATAATCATTTTGTTTATAATATTTAGGCAAACTGTGAGAGGTTATAGATCAGTTTTAAAGGGGTTACTTTCTGAAATATGGATTCATAGTTGAAGCATAACATATAAGACAAATCTGAAAAGTCTGTATGTGAGTGGATGCGTGTGTGTGTCCATGTGCTTGTGTGCCTAAAAGTCTGTGTGATTCATTGTCAGGCTCTTAAGTGCTGACATATTGCTGTTATTGATCTTTAGCCCTAAAATCAACACAGAAACCTGGATACTGATGACAAGCAGGCCAAGGGAGTCAGGGTGTCCTGATAACACACACACACTAAAATACAAACGCATTAATGCTCGACATGCACATATAAACAGAAGCACATACGCCTATGTACAGAAGTACAGATGTTTGTAAAGGTCAGTAAAATCTGGCGAAGTGCAGGACTTAATCAACAAGACTTAAAATAACTCATGCTTTATCCACACAAAAGCACTGATGTCTTACATTTATTGATGCATAGCTGGAATTAGTTTATTTTGTTATCTACGGTAAACTGGCATGACTTTATCTCTCAAGGCAACATGGGATTTGCAAATATTGTGCAGCTCATTACTGTTTAAACCCACAGCATTGTGTTTTCAGTGTAATAAAGTTATTCCAAACGTCTCAAGATAAAGGTTGAAGACCATTTTGGTGAAATAATAGTAAAAACAACAGAACACAAACTTGAAAGAGTGAGAACATGTCGACTCAGGATGCAGTAAAACTTGTTTTAAAGAAAAAGAAAAACCAAGTGTTTCTGAAAGAGCTTCTTGGTAAAGTTTCTTTTGCTAGGGATTTGGTACTTAATGAAAATTAGCTTCTACAGAGACAGTATGTGTGATACAGTAGGTTTGCATTAATTTGGGTTTGTAACGAAGAAATAAAACAATGGTACCACAGAAAACACAAGAGAGCAGTTCAGTGGAGTTTATAAGCAGCTGATAATATTCATAGAAACATCCTACAGTAAAAACAAACTGCTAAAATGTAACAACTGGAAACGGTGACATCCATTTAATTAAACTAAATGTTCATTATCTGAAGGTTTACTCTCCATGTTAGTTTGCATTCTGTGGTCTATGCTAGAAATAAATCAGAATCAGGAAATTTGAAGAGTCTTAATTGAACATCGTCTAATAATTAGGTTTGTTGATGCTTATTATCATCAGTTAATCTCACAAAAAGACCAGACCAACAATGAATTGATCCTACTGACAATAATTGTCTATGTGGAGCCTGATTGGGGAACTAAAAACTACTAAAACTACTGTAAACACATTACTAAGATGAACATGGGCACTGTAGTTTACGTGGAGTCCACACTCGCCGTCCTGCTGCTGTGAATAATCACTAGACCACCAAATGTGTATTAATTCACACTGGAAAATAGTCCCCAATAATTTCACTATTCACTCCTGTTTGAGTAATGTTTGGCCAAGTGAAATTTTATATCCGTGACCCATGTTTTAAGGGTTTCTTCAGTCCGAGTGAATGGGTTTTGCACAGTAGGTAAAGCTAGAAAGCACTGGACTTACATACATCGTTGGGTTTTGTCTGTTGTGTGGGAATTTGGTTGCAAAAACAAAACATATACAATATTTCCAACTTTATTCTTCCCTGGGTTCAGTGGATTTACCCCACTTGATGCTAGCAGAGCTGCCATGCCAAGCGCTAACCTCCCATACTGGGAGCCGTTGCTGCTTGAGGGCATTTCTGCTCTACCACATCGCCACCGGTATTGGCCAACCTGTGTCTTATTCCGTAAGGTAGTCAATAGCCACAGGGGAAAGTGATCATGTGTGTGAGCATACACACATCTTGTAGATAGGGATATGCATTTGGGGAGGTGGTTGACTCTTGTGCGTTTGATGTTGTGTCCTTAGTGATTCCAGTTTAAAAGCCTTTACAGTGTGTCTTGTTTTGAGTGTCTGGCTAGGTTGTACTGTTTCTGTCTGCTGTTGTCGGCGATGAGTGGCGGACTGTGTCGGTTCAGAGTGTTACCCTTTAGAAGTCAAAACAGCATGTGATTTGATTTCATGCTCTTTTATCCTTTAACTAGCCTGATAACAGGAATGGTAAAAGCAATGGGGTGTGTGCACAACAACTCTTCATCATCCCCTAGCAGGCGATCCATTAGCCCTGGACCCCCTCCCCGGTTGCCCAGTGATAAAGTAAACAATGTGTGTTTGACCAATGCGACACACAAATATTTGTTCTGGAAGCTGCCTCATCCGACAGGAGACACAAACACGCCTACCGCCGTGTGCTGAGGTGTATATATACAGCCACAGTCCCGCCGGACCACTATCACATGTCCACACACACACACAGAGAAAAGGGGATTCATCAGTGACACGAGTCAGATCTCTTGGCTCGTCTGAACCTGGCGGCTAATTTGCATTTCACTAGGTAATAAAACTTTAACTTTTTTAACAAATCCTATCAACTAAATGATTTCCTATTAGATTCTTACTTTTTCTCTTCTCTAATTGTCTCTCCAGTGTTGATACGTCAACATGGCGGCAGGTGTCATCAGGAACTTCCTTGTCCAGGCCCCAGCTTCAGCCTACTTCCCCCTGATTTTCCAGCCCTCACCATGTAAAGGAGACAAAGAAGAGAAGCTGGAGGACAAGACAGAGGAGAGGGAAGATGAAGAAGAGGAGGATGAAGAGGATGAAGAATCTGAAGCTCAGGAGGAAGAGGAGGAATGTTTGGAGGAGGATTTTCTAAATCCAGACAGCTACGCTCTGGATGTGACCAAGCAGCTGCTGAGGTTTGCGGATCTCATCAGTCGTGATGTTCAGCGGTATTTCGGTCGCTGCTCTGGTGACGGCGACCCTTGTGACATCTACAGCGACACCGTCTCTGTCACCACCAGCGGGCGTCTGCGTTACTACGATGACTTGCTGAGAATAGCGAGAGCAGGATGTGCAGAGGAGCAAGAAAACAGCTTTGTGACTTGTAGCTATGATCAACGAGTCAGAGTTACTAAAGGCAACAGTGGTTTGGGGCCCCTGGCTGAACTGTTCGACCACAGGGGCCTGAGGCAGGGCCACAGCCGACCCATGATCAAGCGACATCTCCCGGTCAGTTTCTGGAATGAGCCGATCCCCTGTTGCTCTCTGGTCAGTTTCAGCAATACACCTGAGGCCACACACACAAACAGTGACAAACCGTCACAAGACAGCACTCACACAGAATCTAACACACACGTGCACTATAATCCCCTCTCACACCACAGCACACACACCCTCGACAGCACTCAGCCGGACTTCAGTGACCTGCTGGCGAACTGGGATCCCAACCCAGAGCTCACACACACGCACTGACGGAGAACACACACGCAGCACTAAAGCCGGTTTATTCGTGTCCTTTACACTGGTGATACACACTTGTGAATTGTTAAATAAAAAGGAAAATAACATTTGTTGTGCAGAGTTTTCTGTTTGTTTTAAAGGGCAGTTTCCCCGGTTATCTGACCTGTCCAGTCGAGAAAACAAACCCACACCCAGATTTCTGCTGCCACCCCAAGGCGAGCTCACGGCTTTAAAACGTGGCATTTCTATAACGCAACGGCAAACTATCTTAGTTTGGATAAAACTCTTGATGACGGTGAGGTCTCTGGATTCCTAGAAAGATAGTTACTTTTACAAAACTCCTCACCGAGTTATTCTTTCTGTTATTTAGTCCTTTGTTGTTTTTGTTATTTTGTTTTACAAGTGAAAAATCTGAGTGCAAGGATATTTCAGCCTTTTTCAATCATCAGTTATTTCTAAAATAATGCCACACTGTAGTTTTAAGTAACTTATTGCCCCTTGAAAGTCTTGTTTTTGCTGACTGCCACTTGTCACCTTGCTGCAGTGATGATGTACAGTACGTGTGTGGTTACAGGCACAGTACAGGAGTCTGATGCTGGTTGTGATCAGAAATGTCCCACGCTAAAGAGGAGCAGTGACACACAGCCTGGTGGTTACTCTTTAAATAAAGTCTTGAAGTACCACTTTATTTCGTTTAAAGTACTTGGGGGCATTTAATGCCTTTGTTAGAGAGTCAGCAGTAGACAGATGACAGGAAACTAAGTGGGAGAGAGAAGGGTAAAAACATAAAACTACCGCTCATGGTCAGGACCATCAACCCACAGGCCACCAGAGTGCACCGTGTGAAATCTTAATTTAAGTGCAAAATATAGTGGAGTAGAAATATTTAAGCCTGTTTATATTAAATCTTCTTGTTTTAGGTATTTTGAAGCCATTTTACTTGATTCTAGTGCAGCAATGTGCCTAATTCTGACCAGATGATTTATGTTAGAAACTGGTTTATGTTCGAAATCTTGTCCCTTTACAGAATTCATTCCCTTTAGTTAACTAATGTATACTTTGTTGATAGTGTGTTTTTGTTTTGTTTTACTGCTCCAGAGGCCAAATAGCTGGAAAAGAGTCACTTAACAATATTTCATGCGGACAGTTCAAGGATGCACTAATTAAATTTTACACACAAATACTGTACATGTTTAATTCATGTAAAGTATTTATAATGTTTAGAGACTACAATCATATTATCTTGCCACAATGAAATTAAACTAGGTTTAACATGATAACATAGGTGATAAATACATTAGGTGCAAAAGCCCTTTTGCGCTCACCATTTTATGATATTATTGGAAGATTATTACAGTATCAACTTTCATTACATTTTTATTATATTATGCACAGTTATTACACTGAGTTGTTACAAGGATGCACTGTAATGTTCCCCTCTGACAGGTGATGGGGTCTGATTGAATGTGAAGGAAGAAAAAAGAAACATTTCAAGAGAAGATGAGGAGAGAAAGATGATAAAAGGTGCCGTGAATCCTGAGGCCTTAACAGTAGACCAGACAGTTTGCCCATTTCTGACTCTATAGGGCAGCGTCTGATTGGTTCCCTTGCAGGTGTAACTCCTGATTGGATGAGCAGGAAAGGCCAGTAACATTTTGACACACACACACTCCATCTTTGACACATAAAAGTGCCAGTTTTCCCTGTCACATTTACTGAAGGTGCATTTACCCAAGGAGTGGCCGGAGCAGCTCACACAGAAACACCGACATGAGGACACACACGCTTTTATCTATAACTGTGCTGGGCCTGCTGCTGTGGACCTCCTTCGTCCAGGCCGACAGCAGCCAAAGGACTGACAAAGAGACAGAGACCCAAGACGAGACGTCAACAGAAGAGACTCCAGATAGCGGGGAGGAGGAGGAGGAAACCACCGAAGCACCAAAGAAAGAGAAGACAACTGAGATAGAGGAGGAGAAAGATGTGATGGTCCTCCACATCAACAACTTTGCCAGAGCTCTGGATGAAAATCCATACTTACTGGTCAAATTCTGTAAGTGCTGTAACTATGAAAAAAATAATATCCTCAGTCAAATGAATGCCATGTTCATTACAGCTGTCTGTCCTCTTCGAGACTGTTAGTATTACATTTGTGTTGCTTTATCAGCGCAGCACCATCAGTGACAACATATGTTAAGCTGAAACGGATTTAGGGTTATGATATGATACAGGTGTGTTAATGAAGAAGACAAGCTGCAGAGACGTACTGAGATCAGGGTTCTAACTGCAGCTGAAGAAGGCTGTGGGACATGTAAGTTTTCCACCGCTGTTTTCTGTTCAAACCCTTGTGTGCATGAGGCATTATCAAACAAATGTGCACAAGTATGTGCATACACATGGCCTCTCTTATCCAGATGTTCTACTGGTTCAATTCTCTCACAGATGAGCTCAGCAGTAGCAAAGGTCATAGCAGTGAAAAGAGCAAAGCGGACAGAGGCCGAGCCCAACTGCCTCTGTTACTATCAGCAGCTTATTTCCATATATATCTGGACATGTGATGCTGATGGCAATGAGTATGTCAAAGCAGGTTAACTGTGTGCATTTGTGTGTTCAGACGCTCCCTGGTGTGGTCACTGTAAAAAGCTTGAGCCGTTCTATGCCGAGGCTGCTGCGAAGCTGAAGGATGAGAACCCCACGCTGCGTTTGGCCAAAGTGGACGCCACAGAGGAGAAGGAGCTGGCTGAGGAGTTTGACGTCAAAGGCTACCCCACTCTGAAACTGTTCATCAAGGGCGACCGCACAGAGCCCGTTAACTACTCTGGTAAACCCACACAGACACATAGCTCCAGTTACTCGGCTATAACCTGCACTGGCAGGGCTGATAGCAGCTTTCCAGATATAACAACACATGTGACTACATCATGAATAAGCCTGAACGGTCTGAGCCTGGAGTGTGTGTTTACCTGTTCACTGAACCTGTCTGTCCTATCTAATCTAAGCTAATATGCCTTAAGCCACTGACTGGCTATTGACGGTTTTTGTCTTTGTGCTCTATTAATGTGCATACAAATCAACATTTTTTCCTTTTCACCTTTTTTTAATTTTATATTTTCTTTTAACATTCTGTGAAAATTAATACTTCTCTTGTTTACAATATAATTACCCAGGAGGCCATTAGCTCAGCTTCGAATAAAAAGTGGAAATAGGGGTAAGACAGCAAACACAGCTCTGTTCGAAGTTCAAAATCTGCCCACTAGCACCTGTAGGTTTTCCTAACTGTCACAAGTACTGAAGGAATGTTTTGTTGTTAGGTTGCGAGGAATTAATGATTAGCAAAGGAACAGTCCAGCTCTACCCCCTAGAATTTTACACAAAGCTGTTTTTAATAATCAAATGAGCTGTCGAGTCCTGGTGTCCATATTTTTTTACTCAGAATCAGCTTTATTGGCCCGGTGTGGACAGAGCTAGACGGATTCCTCCGGTTCACAGTAAAGCTAACCTGCTGCTCGCAGGGCCCTCATTTCTAGGATACAAAACAAGAAAGCCACTAAGTTTGAAGCCCCAGAAGTAAAAAGCTCTTGTTAGGCTAAAAACGAACTACACCATGGTACATAGTACATACATTTGCATATTTTTATAGCCCGTTAGTTTTGAGCTTCACTGTTACTTTGTTTTCCTTCTGACCTCATCTTAGTGAGTTAAAGCACCTGAAATAACTCTGACCTGATTTGTCTGTGTGTTGCCCAGGTAAGAGGTCAGTCTTGGGAATAATTCAGTGGATGAAGCGTCGTGCAGGTCCTGTTGCTCAAGTGCTCAACTCCACAGAGTCTGCAGCTCAGTTCATCGATGCCCATAACATCACTGTTGTTGGATTCTTTGATGTATGTTGATTTATTTTCATCTTTACAGTGTTACCTGTAAATCTATAATATAATATAATATAATGTATTTCTTATTTTGATTTCATACTAGAATCTGGAAAGTGAAGCGGCTAAGGTGTTCAAGGAAGTCGCCTTGGAAATGGCTGACATAGAGTTTGCCATAACTGCGACTCCTGAGGTTTTCCAGAAGCATGAAGTCAAAGCCGACTCAGTGGTGCTTTTCAAAAAGGTACACACACGTGTTCATACTGAGAGAGAGCCAGAGAGTCCGATGTCTCATAGAGAGGCACAGGGAGCATTCATGATATTAGCTTCTCTCTCATCTAGCACATAGATATAATGTTTGAAGTTTTAAAGGAAATAATTAAGCCTGCAACTATTGTAATGATGCATTTTTATGATGGATTAATGTCATTGATTTTCATTAATATTTAAAATTTTATTTCATGTGACATAGTGTTTCAACAAACATAAGGACATGAGAAACACAAAGGCACACAAAGCAATACACAGGCTCATGGTCTGCACAGTCCATGGTTTGGGTTCTGTGTTCAATCTCTGAGGCTTTTTATTTTTGTGAATATTTGGAAAAGTGTGTTATGTGTATGTTAATTATAATCAAATTATCCAGGAACAGAAGATTGCATGTTTTGTCCAGTGCAAACACATATCAAATATTCAATAAACAGAACACGGAAAAAGCTGAGAAGTCCGCACACATGCAAAGCAGGAACATGCAACACTTTGGTCATTTGCAGTGCAAGCAAATTAAACAATTTAGCCATTTTTCATATTTGCATTTTTCACATTTTCATAATTTTCCATTGATCGGCTGATTGTTGTGGAACTAGATTAGGGTCAAGGTGTTTAGTGAAACAAACTGTGTGTGTGTTTGCAAGTTTGATGAGGGCAGAGCAGACTTTACATGGACAGAAGAAGAGGAGCTGGACAAAATGAGTCTGGGGAGCTTCATCACAAAGAACAGCCTGATGCTGATCATCCCATTCAACCAGGAGGTAATACACACACATGCAGCTACATACACGTGATTACCTCAAATTAAATGTGAAATTATATTGAAATTATACTGTGTGTGTGTGTGTGTGTGTGTGTGTGTGTGTGTGTGTGTGTGTGTGTGTGTGTGTGTGTGTGTTCAGACTGCAGACACGATCTTCACCTCTGGCATCCCCCTGCACACGCTCTTGTTCATCAACTCCACTGTGGAGAGTCACACAGCCCTGGTGGACGAGTCCAGGCCTGTTGCCAAAGAGTTCAAGGGCAAGGTAACAGTCCAGTGTGTGTGTCTCTGTCTTTCAAAGAAACACAACAATTTTATTTAACCTTTGTCTTGTTTCTGTGTGTGTGTGTGTGTGTGTGTGTGTGTGTGTTTGTTATGTAGATGCTGTTTATTGTAATTGACGTGACGCAAGCCTTGTCTTTTGTGCTGAACTTCTTTGGTGTGTCCGAGGACGAAGCCCCCACCGTACGCATCACGAACATGGAGACAGGAAAGAAGTTCAGCATCGCCACCAAGGATCTCACAACACATTCACTGCGACAGCTGTGCCAGGAGGTTGTGGATGGCACTGCCAAGGTAACACACACACACACACACACTCATTTCATTTCATGTATTCAGGGCCTGTTGTCACAGATGTCTGTGAGTTGATAGCAGCTCCACTAAAGAGCAACTCAATTTATAAACTTGCAGATGGTTTCATTTAAATAACTTAATTATCCAATATTTTACAATAAAATCAAAGATTACATTTAAATTCAATTCACCTCACCCATCTAGAACATGCAGTACACTGCTGTAGATCAGTCACATGGGACATTTTATTCCAGAACCAGTGCTTTTACTGTGATATTGAAGTACAATTTGACGGTAATACTCGCTATGTAGGATTTGGAATGCAGGACTTTTACATGTAATTGAGTATTAAACTGGTTTTTATAAAAGATCTGAGCTCTTCTTCCATTCAAACCCAGTGACTTGTCCTGTTTTGTGGTGCAGCCCTACTATAAGACTGAGGAGATCCCTGAGGACTGGGACAAAGGTGCAGTTAAAGTCCTGGTGGGGAAGAATTTTGAGTCTGTTGCTTTGGACCCAACCAAAAACGTCTTTGTGGAGTTTTGTAAGTCAGCCTGTGTGTCTCAGTCGGAGTGATGTGAGCAATATAAAAACTCATTTAATGAAATCTGCTCATGATTTATTGAAAATAATTCATTTTCAAGTGAACTTAACATGAAGTGAGGCTTTAAATGAATTACCTTTGAATGAATGGCCATTTGCTGTTCAGTATAGAGCATTTATTATGTAGTACTTTATGTGTGTTGTGGTTTCCGGTCTATGACTTTATAGAAAAGAGCCTGAAGATGTGGCTGCAGCATCATTAACATTTATTGCATTTGACCAAATCTCTACTGAACGCCCTCTCTTCATGTTGAAGAGGGTGCATGCTTTACCACCTCATCTACAGATGTTCCCTTTCATCCTCTAACAATGCTTTTGTGGATGTGTGTGTTTGTAGATGCTCCATGGTGTGCACACTGTAAGGAACTAGCTCCCATCTGGGAAGAGCTGGGTGAGAAGTACGCCGACCATGATGACATCATCATAGCCAAAATAGACGCCACAGCCAACGAGGTGGAGTCTATTGTGATTCAGGGATTTCCCATGCTCAAATACTTCCCTGCTGGTGACAAAGAGGCATGCGCACACACACACGCACACACACACACACACACAGTCACACATATGACTTTTGTAAAAAGATTTTCATCATTTATCTCTGTCACTCATCTCATCATCTATAACTTTGTTTTCTTCTTCTAATGTTCTGCAGGTGGTTGACTACACTGCAAAAAGAGATCTGGACACCTTGTCTAATTTCCTGGACGGTGGAGGAGTGTTGCCTAAAGAGGAAAGTGATGAGGAGGAAGATGCAGATGATGAGGAAGATGAAGAAGATGATGGTCCTAAGGAGGGTGCTGATACTGGTGACGCTGGCGAGGTTTGTAATTCCACTGTGACTTTATAAAGAGTAAATATTTTGCCTTCTACTCACCTCTCTCTCATTTTATTTGTCTCTTTCAGGACGCTGATGAGTCTGCAGAGGCAGCGACCAACATAACATCTAAAGATGAGCTGTGATGTCACTTTTGTTTCTGGCCAATCAGGATCAACATAGCATCTTCTAATTTTTCTTAATAAAAATAATTTGGGTTTAAAGTGTTTTGCTCTCATGACTATTTTAAATGGAGTCCAAAACTTTAAAATGACTACATTTTAAAACAAGACCCGTCTAAAAACAATCACATTAGAGAAGTTAAAACCGTGCCGAGAGGCGGGGTACACCCTGGGCAGGTCACCTAACTGGCAAATCGTTTATGGTCACTTTAATATTTTCTAGAGCATGATACTACAAAAAGATTTGTGTGTAAATGTTTACTTTGTAAAGTCATTAAAGCTGTTAGACAAATGTAGCAGGGAAAGTACAATATTTCACTCTGAAATGTTTTAAAGTAGCAGCATAAAATAGCATGAAAAGATAAAAGTGAAGTACAAGTTTGTACTTCAGAACTTTCCATCACTGTATATATTTACACACACTACTATGTTATGACGGACTGCTGTTTCCTGCGGTAAACCGTACTCATTTCCTGTTTTCTGTGGTAAACCGTACTCATTTCCTGTTTTCTGTATTTGCACTGCGTTGTGCTTGCTTCCAGATTGTTTAGGAATTAAACTCACTATTTTCTAGGTTCATCTGAATTTTTATGTGACAACATACGCTTGCACCACTTAAAGCACTTGTTTTGCAGAAGTTCTTGCTAACTACCAAATTTAACTTGCTACTTTAGGTCGGCTAGTTTAGAAGCTAGCTAAGCTGGTAGCTTAACTGAGAGCAATGGCTTCCCCCTGTTCCTCTCCTCCTTTCTCTTGCTCGGAGTGTCGCATGTTCAGTTATTCCTCTGCCTCCTTTAGCGATAATGGTACTTGTAATAAATGTCAGATGCTAGCAGCATTGGAGGCGAGGCTCACAGACTTAGAAGCGCGGCTCCACACCATGGAGAATAGGCCAGCTAGTTATGCCCACGTAGCCGGTGTGGAACCTCCTAGACGTAGCTTAGCCCAAGATAGCCACCCCCCACAGCTTCCCGAGCAGCCGGGATCTCAGACAGGTGGCTGGGTGACAGTTCG